TATATATATATATATATATATATATATAAATTATAGGATATATATTAATATAGAAAGTAATAATAATAAAATATATTATATTATTTTATTTTATTAATTTTTTATCTTTTTTTAATGAGGTTCAATTTCCAATGTATTTGGCACCCCTATCAAAGGGGTGCCAATAGCACTCCCCAAAAGAAATGATTACATAGGAGGTAGGGGTGCCACTAGTAAAAAGTAGTAATGTCATTAGCAAGGGATATGAGTGCCATTAGCTTTCCCCCTATGTTAATGTTGGATTTTGGTTTCGTTCTTCAGGGGTGAGGATTGAGGGGAGAGTTTACGTCAATTGAGGGATGATACAAGATTTGAAAGTGAATCGTGTATTTGAAATCCGAATCACAATTTTTCCCTGGAACCGTTACGTTAGAAGTGAGATTAGGTAGGATTTTCAAAAATATTACAAAAATGCCACCATATTTAATGACCTTTGATTAAAACATTTAAATGATTGAGAGTAGTCGTCACGTTCCTTAACCTTTTTATAGTTTGTATTTGATTACCGTCATATATAAGGGTCGACTATTGTATAAGGGTTCATAGTCAATTTTAAATTTCAAGCATATGTTGCACCGTCATAAGCATTGTCAAATGAATATATCGTAATTTGTGATAAAGGTTAAAAGCCAATAATATATTTCAACCGTTTATATAGTTTTGCACCTTAGCGCACATCACCCAACCGCTCACGAAACAGTTTTGGGGTTGTTTGTTTACCTCTTAATAGTTTTATCAAGAGATAACCACTGAATCGTTAAGAGGTGAATCTTGTTTGACAAAAAAAAATTAGTCTCAATGATTTTAAAACCATCTGAATGATTTTGTATCCTGGGAACCATTCAACACCCTAATTCGATTGTAAACAATTACTGAACAATTATATTTCATTTTGTATTATATAAATGAGAGCCTCTTAATCATTCTGACTATTTAATCATTCTGCACCAAATCATTCAGCAACTGCCAACACAACCCCTAATTAATGTCTTATTTTGGTCCACATTGATGGATCGGCTTAACGGCACCTTACACAAATATATGAATATGGAAAATTGAGTGGAACACTCCAAACATCACAACTTAAAACGACACAACTTGTCAAGTTTAAATATAATTATCGCTTTAAATCTACGTAATTTTTCATAATTTAAAGTTGTCTCCTTTAAGGATAGAACGACGATTGTTTGCACGTACCTTATAAATTAAGGGGTTACCAAAATGTTTAAATGGAAACTCTTCCTGGATAGCAAATTTCGTTGTATACTCCTATTTAACTTGTTATGCTTCTACCAGTTTATGCTCGACTCGAATGCGTAGTTGTCTTTATTGCAATGGAAGACTTTCCAACCTGTCATTTCAACATTCATTATTCCTCTCATCATACCGCATGTTTTGCGTTGTGTTTTCTTTTTCCACTTGACGACGATATTGACAAGTCGTGATTTCGCCAAACGGATGATTTTTAGCAATGGTCAACAAGTTTTTCGACATGTTTAGGGATCAAGAACCCTACTTGTTTGATCTATAGCCATTTTAAAGTTATGGATTTAGTTAAAATCTAATTTAATATTATATACCTAAATAACTCACAAATTCAATCCATAGTCTCATATTAACTAACCGGTAGGGGTGTCTAGAAAGTCAACAACTCCAATCGAAACCGACCTACCATAATTGGATATTCAATTTGATTGAATCATGTCAGATTGAAAATTTCAACTTTCAATTTGGGTCAATCGTTTCTTGGATGGTAGTCCAGAACCGACCAACATCCAATTAACCATTTGGTTATCCAGTCATCCATCCAACCATTCTCCAATTAATTTGTTTTCCATTTACTTAACTCGGAATTTGTTTTGTGTTGATTTTCGGATTTTTGACCTCGATTGTGTTGGTCTTTTTAACACATTAAAAGGGATTAATTAGTTTGTTTCATTTTTGGAAAATTGAATTGAATAAATACATTGGATAGATCTGATTGTTCATCGGATGGATCCAATCCGATCCAATGGATGGAACTTAACCAATCAAATCATGCATTGATTTTGATCTAGTGTCCAATGTTAGTCGGATTGAATCAGATGACAAAATCCAACATCCCATAGATGATTGGATCAGGTCGGTTCAGTTCCCCTTACATCCAATTAATGTCAACCAATGAACATGCTTATTAACCGGTTCCATGCAAAAATTGTCTAACTAGTAGGGATCGGTTAAAGGCCCATCTCTAACCATCTCTGAATTGACAACAAAGAACAAGAAAAGCATCAGAATCAAACACGAAGCATTGAAAATTGAAAGCATTGGGTCAAAGGGAGCAAGTATATGGAACCTATGCAAGTTCACAGGCCAATTTTTGGCCTTGTAATGACAAAAATCGTAGGTTATTGCATTAGATGGCTTCATAATGTTACCATACAAAAAAGGGGCAGCAGCAACCATGCTAATCGAATAACAGGAGGATTTCTATTTCTGGATGCAATTTGCAGCTTCAACCAAGAATCAAAAGAAAATAATTACTCGGAGACCAAAATTGTTGATTGGAGAAATGATAAACGGGTTTTAGTTAGATTCAATTTCTCTTCTGCCTCGGCTGCCTTTTCACGAACCCCACGAACAACTTCCTCAGGAGCTTTCTCAACAAACTGTAGATGGTATGGTATATGTATGGTCAACAAAGTAATATGCACATGAGAATGATAAAATTATTACAGTCCATCACAAAATAAATGTCCATATTTATATTTTAATTAGTCTGAAAATAAGTGTCCGTTTTCAAAAGTAAAATGCCTCCTTTCCAAATCTACTCTTAATTATGAGATGAAGTTGATACTCTTTATTGTCAAGGATAAACCATGTAGTTAATTAAAAAGTGTAATAACTACGTATTTCTAACACTGTGCGCGTGTACATTTATTTTGGGGCGAAGAGAGTACCATATTGAATTAGTCATAAAACGAGTAATATCTCGACTTTTGCTACTTTGCAATGCTTTTTTAATCAAAATAAGCATCCCACAACCCATCAATAAATCAACTCACCCAACTTAATTAGCCTAAGAAGTTCCGTACAGTTATTTTTTGTTTTAAATTATAGTAATTATTTTGTGCCAACATTGAAATTTTTTCTGGATCCACTTCTGGTATGGTGTCATGTGAAGGGACCTCCTCACAAGTGCCTTTTAAATCCACAACCTTCGAACAGGTTAGACATTCTTGTATATGGAAGTAACATTCTTCTGTTAGTAGAGACATTCTGAAGATTGTGGATTAAAAGAACTTAAATGAAGGTCCTTTAACCAGAGAAACCGTGATGTGTAAGTGAGTGATAAATGTGCAGTGAATGCCGTGACCGGAAGGCATCAAGTAAGGAATACATAAACTACATACCTTAGGAGAGTTCAAGCGAGCGAGAAGTCCTTCGTATTCTGTTTGCATCTTTGAGAGACGCTTGGATAGTCGTTGAACTTCTGCAGAGATATCTACCATATCTGCAAGAGGAAGATACGCCTCTAGACCTTCCCCAGCAACAAGATGAACAGATTGATTTGCATCCCCTGAACCAATATTAAAAAAATGAATTTTGGATAACTGTGGGTATCTATGCGAAACCACCATACATATATGTTTTTTTTGATAACTATGGATGTCTGTGCCAGCTTGCAACCACCTCAACTAATCCCAGGAGACCCAGAAGTTAACAGCCAGTCAAACCCAAGACGTTAGAGCATCTTCAACAGATTCTCTAAAATAGAGAAAATGAATTTTGGAGATCTTTTTGCACAAACAAATTCTCTAAAATAGAGAAAACAGGAAAGAAGGTAAAAATCTCCAAATTTAGAGAAATCTCTATAATTAATGTTTAAAAAAGAGAAATAGTTTTTTAATTGTTCCCATCAATCAAATTGAATATATTTCCATACATATAAAATTTATTTGAAATTTCATTGGGATATTAAATATACTGAATTTTAATTAATATAATTAATGTTGATGTCTCCAAAATAGAGAATTTGTTGGGGTTGAATGTAATTTCTTTTAGATATTTTAGCTTTTAATTGTCCATTTTGAAATTATAGAGAATCTGTTGGAGATGTTCTTACTAGTTGAACTACCCCCAAGATTCACAACACAGACATACTTGAATGTAGCTAAACAGCATACTATTGAAATACTCACACACACATATAGATCTGATCTGGGGGGAAATCTGATAAAAGAGTGAGTATACCTGGGGGTGAATCCATAAAATTGATGCTTTGCATATCAAGTCTAGACAGAAGAGCCAATACATCCTTTTCTCTCTGAAATAGAAACAATAGTATCATATAAGCACCAATCTGTTACTTGCTTACAGGCAACAGTATAGACCTTAGAATTTCATCCAAGCAAAACTGCCAAAACTATCGTCTTTTGTTCAAAAAATAAAAAACTACAAGTCTTTGGGCTCATCTTTCTACAAGTACACATCTTTCATTCCTACTTGGTTAAAGTGAGAAATATACTTGTAGAGTGATAAATGTGTATTGATTAGTAGGGAGGCAAGCTTGAAATAAAATAAAAAAAAGTTATGTTTTGCCATTTTCTATAACCTGTGAATTAAGAAATAAAATTTTGTGAGGAACGTAGGAATGTTATAATAAAATGGTAAAAAATGTTAACATTGAAATGTTAAAACAAGTTAACATGAAACTGTTAACACAAGTTAAAATAAATAACCATACCTTAACATATGTTAACATTACATTAACATGTTAACTTATGTGAACATCTTTTACGCTTCTCATGAAAATTTGATTTGTCACCGGAACCCGACCTTATACACACACCACACACTTTGGTGGTGTACCTAATTTCAAGTGTTAAGCCTCAATTTTAAGTTTTTTTTTATCACTTTTGGAATAAGTTTTTAACTTCTGTCTCTTACATCAATTTACTTCACAAAGTAACATTTTTCTCTCTCGGAATCTCCTACATTTTAATTTCATCGCATATCCGGTCAGACATTCTAAAAGCATGTGCATATCCTGGAATAAAAAGCATTCACCAACCTGTATACTTTTATATAGTCTAGTACTATACATGAGGTGACCAAAATGAAATTTCAAAACTGAAAGATGGTAAGTCGAACAATTTCCTTTGGATCAAGCGTTTCAAATAATTTGGGATCTTGCACTCGGGATAAAATCGCACTATGGCTGGGTCATCAAATCTATAACATAGCAACCCAGGTGGTTCGTTGGGGACTAAAGTAGCAAGACCACCAAAGGGTTCATCACTCAGGTCAGCACAGCAGTAGAGGAAAACCCATATTCGCTTGGTAAAATAGGCCACAGATTAAAGAATTTGCAATAAACTATCTGAAGATCAATAGAAAAAGTACATTTGTTCACCAAGGATTTGCATCAACCAGGAAAATTGGGAGGGATATGGATACTCACAGAAATATACTGGATAACATCGGAGGTAGCAACGATAGATGCAGATATACGCTTTGCAGGCTCAACAGAATATTCTGCCCTTGCATTTCTTATTGCTCGTGTCTAAATCATGAAGCAAACTAAATGACAAAATATTCTAATTTCTTTTTAAGTTGTTGCAAAGTAAATACCAAAATGATGATCTCACCAAAGCTTGCAAGTTTTCAAATCTTTTTATGGCAGTGAGATTCCTTGGAAGTGAAGTAAGAGGCCATGGAGACACTATTAGAGCTTCTTTTCTATTAGGCAATGCCTGCAGACAGTAAAATAAAAGATCAAACCAGCATTTTCTATTTCACTGTAGAATTCAGGGGTCACAGGAAAAAAAGAGCAAACGCACAAGTCCTCCAAGACATTGAGATTAACATGATTTTTCTTGGGTAATGTTAGGTACATTTCCTCATGACATAAAATAAAAAGAGAAGTTACTTTTTCTATAATATTCCAAGGTTTTGAAGAAATACATTTGACCCAAATCCCACCTCTAATCATGGAGGAGGACAGGAGGTTGTGAAGAACTATAACATATAACCGATGCAAAGTTGCACATTAGCTTCGACCTTTGAATTAAATTGATAATTTAACATGAATTAAAAACCTGGAATTACCTGCCATAGTTCTTCAGTAACAAAAGGCATAAATGGATGGAGCATTTTTAATATGTTCTCATAAACATATAAAAGAACTGCCTGGGATGTAGAAGCAACTGCCTGATCTTCAGACTGGTAAAGGTGAGCTTTACTTGCTTCGATGTACCTAGAAGAGAAGGATAAACATGATAATCAAACATAAAGAATGTTGAAACAGGTCACCGAGTCATATAGCATGATAAGATTGCTTTTAATAATTACACCTAGCCAGAGTTCACATCCGTATGCAGTTGCAAAGACATGTGGCTAGAGTATGTTACATTCACAACCATCAAACAAACAAAAAAAATTAAACTGAAAGGCAAATAGGCAATCCAAGTTGATTTACAGCTATTCCCCGAAAAACCTTTATACAGAGAAGATATCTCTATGATACTAAGAGGCAGTTTCATGTTGCATTTCTTAGCCAATCAAGCTATATGGTCTCATCAGGTGCCCTTTTCTGGTAAGTAATTAAGATAGAGGTTCAGATCAGTCCTCATAATCTAAGGATGTTCTTTTTGGTCTTAAGTGAAGGTTTTTTATGGTATCACCTATAACTTCTACTCTATTTCACACTACCATTTCCCAGGGTCTTCATGCATGAGCGGAATCTTACAAAAAATCTACTCACACTACCATTTCCCAGGGTCTTCATGCAGGCCAGCAGAAACATATAAACAAAGATCTAATATACAGAACTGAAATTAATCGTAATAACTCAATCTAGAAAATTAAGATATACCAATCAGCAAAATCACCCCAGAAGAAATCATATGTTTCCCGTGCAACATCATTAAAGAAAAACTTGTCATAACTTGTCGTGACTGCATCAACAAGTATGTGCAGTTTTGAAACCTGTATATATATGTAGAGAGAGAAGTAAATTATTCACCAGTATAGTAACAATAAAAGTTTATGTTGCATACAATTCATCACAAAATCGGTCTTACCACCCAACACTCTGGTAAAGGCAGCCTGAGCAGAAACTCTTCCTTATCAAACTAAGAACATGATTAACTGTATCAGTACACGGAAAAAAACAGTGCAAACAGGACATGGTCAAAGTACATTAGAGACAGTGGGTTGGGTCCTGCTGATAAATCAAAATTTTGTGAGAAGCGTAAGAAGCACTTTGTTAGCGGATGTTCACATAAGTTAACATGTTAATGTACGTTAAATATACTAACATTTTATGTTAATTTATATGAACTTATGCTAACTTATGTTAACTAACAGATTTAGGAGTGTTTCTTATTCATTCTTGACAGAGAAACATACAATATAAATACACAAGGCAAAGGGAAAGAAAATGAAACTATTCTATGAATCCCTGATTTTATGGGATTGCCTACAATCACTAATATTATGGGATTATAATCGGCTCCCATTACTCCTACATTAAATACATAATCATTTACATTTTTACATTTTCCCATATTAACATGTGTTAACATTTTATTATAGTGTTCCTTACTCTTCTCACGAATTTTTTATTTCTCCCGCGATCCTAATTCTAGACTGAGTAGCCCAAATCATGAAAGAGCACCATTTACTACAAAAAGAACTTTATAACCGAGAATTGTGTATATCAACTGTACATTGAGTGCCCACATTCATCACCATGGAAGGTTTGTAAAAGAATCAATTCTTATTTGCTAAAATATAAACTACTGCATGTTTCATTGGCTTTGTGTAAAAACTTCTACTAGCAACATCTTAGACATGGTTCCAATGAAGGGACTTCTGCTAGCACACTGACAAACAGACTAAAATACTAAAGGATTCCTTTGACACTTTGAGCAAGAAAGCATTCACAGCCTCTTGTACTGTGATTCTGATAAGAACTTGTTCGATTACAATCGATCTCAAAAGAAAGAACAGAAATAAAGAAAATTGTTTGGATATTCGAGAACCAGACTCCCTCCCTATAAGAGAACTAGACAATTCAAAGATATCCCCTCATTCCCCCCCCCACCTATTATTTAATACTAAGATAGCAAAACTAAACAAGAAAATACCAGCATAAAAGGAAACACAATAAAGAGAAAATAAAAGGCTCCTATGATTGACAACTCACCCCACTACCCCCTTAAACTTCTTTCTAGAATACGCTTGGGTAATCGGAGCCTTATTGTTAGACTAAGTCAACTAGTCTAGTTTATATTATTAATATTGTCCAGGGTTCAAAGTGTAATTAGTTTTACCTATATATCTACATCTCTAAAGTGTATCTGATAATTATTATTTTCCAATCAATACAATCGATATCAAGTTTTATATGGTATCAGAGCCTAATCCTAACCCTAACCCTAAAATCGATTCTTTTTCCCTAACCCTAAAATCGGCGCCCTTCAATCTGCCGGCGTTCTTCAATTCTGCCGGCCGGCGCTCTTCAACACTGATTTCCATCGCCAGTCTACAGCTTTCGACCTTGACGCTGACGATTCAGCCCTGCTCTTCAATTCTGCCGGCCCAAATCAGCGTTAAAGACAAATCAGCGCTCTTCAATTCATCAACAATCTGCCGACGTTAAAGACAAGTCAACATCAGAATTCATGGCAGCTATAATCGCCTTTTCACATCAGGAGAAAACCATTCACAATTCCCACCAATTCTCCTTCTCTCTCAAACCTACCAACTATGGCTATTGGCATTCTACGATTGAAGCCTTTCTCACATCTCATAATCTCTTTGGTTATGTTGATGGAACAGTACCGTGCCCTGATCAGAAAGTCACCAACGAATCAGCAACCACCGACAATCCAAGCTACATTCCATGGATCTCAAACGATGCCCATATTCGGATGCTTATCATCTCTACTGTGTCCGAAGATTCTTATCAACACATTCAGGGAAAAACATCACGTGAGGTATGGTTATCTCTTGAAAGAGCTTATGCCCCTGTTACAGCCTCTCATGAATTTACTCTCAAAACTCAATTGCTTAGAATCACCATGAAAGGTGATGAAAAACCGGCTGACTACCTAAGCCGGGTTCACGAATATGCCACTGCTCTAGCTAACATTGGAGAACCAATGAAGGACAAAGACCTCGTAATGCTAACTATCGTAGGGCTTCGAGAGGAATACAATGTCATTAAAGGCAACTTACTGACCCGCTTACCTCCTGTTCGCTTCAATGAACTACATGGTCTTTTGTGTGATCATGACTATGTTTTTACAAAGACCTTAACTCCACAAGCTTTCCTGGCCAACACTGCTCCAATATCCCAGCCACTAACGGCTGCTGCATCTTCGGTTCAACAACCGAATCTCGATCAACTTCAGCAACAACTCCAAAGCATTCAACTTGTGGCTTCTCAACTTGGTTATCAATTAAACCCCTTTCCCACCCCATGGGCTCAAGCATATTATGGTTCTCGGTCTTTCAACAATAACCGAGGTGGTCGAGGATCTCGTGGTTCTTCTCGTGGCAACTCACGTAGTGGTTTCAATAATCGCCCTCGGGATAGCAATGGCTCCCGACAGTTTTCTTGGGCTTCAACCCACAACAGAGTCTATGGCCATTGCAACAGGTGTGGCATAGGTCATCTACCGTCTCAGTGCCCAAATCAGCCGAACCAGTCTCATCCGCCAATTTTACATCACACTCAGAGGCTGGCTCATCTTCTGGTCCTACTTGAAAACCAGATACTGGTGCAACTCATCATGCCACACCAGACCTATCTAGCATGGATAACTCAGAGGCCTACTACGTTAACGATTCTTTACTTGTTGGTAACGGTAATTCTGTACCCATTTTTCACATTGGTTCATCGAAAATATACTCGCCAAACAAAACCTTTACCCTAACCGACATTCTTCATGTTCCTCAACTAAAACAAAATCTTTTATCTGTTCAAAATTTTTGCCTTGATAACAATGTTTTCTTTGAATTTCACTCTTCTTATTTTGTTGTCAAGGACGAGTCTACTCGCACTACCCTCCTTACGAGCCCCAGTGAACAGGGTTTGTACTCCATTCGTCTTCCTCAACTCAAGTCTCTGCCGAAGGTTGCCTTCACTGCTGTTAAAGCTCCTTCGAACATTTGGCATCAACATTTAGGACATCCTCATGCTCAAGTTTTTCGTTCAATTGTTTCTTATTGTTCTTTACCCGTTTCGGACAAATTATCAAATACTTTATGTTCTTCTTGTCAATTGGGAAAATCTTCAAAGACATCTTTACCTAATTCCACTTTTCGTAGCAATAATATTTTAGATCTTGTTTACTGTGATGTTTGGGGCCCTTCTCCCTCGCCATCTCTTGATGGTCATCGTTATTTTCTTTTATGTGTTGACCATTTCACACGTTATATGTGGATTTATCCTTTAAATCAAAAATCTGATGTGTATATTGTGTTCACACAATTTATTACCATGACTGAACGCCAATTTAACACCAAATTAAAGTGTATTCAATCTGACTGGGGGGGCGAATTTCGGTCTCTCACCAATCTTTGTCGCAACCTTGGCATCATCCACAGAAGGTCTTGTCCTCACATCAATGAGCAAAATGGCATTGTTGAACGCCGCCATCGTCATGTTGTAGAAACTGGTCTCACTCTAGTGGCTCAATCCAGTCTTCCTCAACGCTTCTGGTCCCTGCCTTTGAAACAGCTGTATACCTCATCAATCGTCTCCCCTCTCGTGTCTCCTCAAACAAATCTCCTTTTGAACAAGTCTTCAAACGCAAACCTGATTATTCTTTCTTACGAGTCTTTGGTTGTCAATGCTTCCCTTATCTTCGTCCATACAATCATCACAAAATTGAATTCCGGTCCACTCCCTGCGTTTTCCTTGGTTACAGCACCGTTCACCACGACTATCGCTGTTTTGACCCGTCTAATGACCGAATTTATATTGCCCAACATGTTCGCTTCAACGAACATGTGTTTCCCTACCAGCCTTCACCAACCCCACCACCACCGTCCACTCCTCCTTACATTTCTATATTTCCTAACCCACCACCCGGTTTCCCACCCGAGCCTCCACAATCGCCTCCACCGCCACCCCCTCCTCAATCTCCTCTTCACGAACCTCCCTAATCGTCTCCACAATCATCACCATCACCACCTATTCCACCTCCTTCTGATGCCTCCCCGCCCGAACTTACCCATACTCCACCACCCGTCTCTCGACCTCGGCCTTCCAACCTTCGCCCCAATCCCAAACAACCTGACCAATATAACCCAGCCGCTTACTCTGCCACCGCTCCCTCACCTCTACCTCTTGAACCCACCAGTTTTACCGTTGCTAACAAGTCTTTAGAATGGCGCCAAGCAATGGCTGATGAGTTGGCTGCGCTTCATAGGAATGGCATGTGGACACTTGTGCCCCCTGTTCCTAATGCTAATGTTGTTAATTGTAAATGGGTTTACCGGTTAAAAACTGATGAAAATGGAAAGATTACCAAGTACAAACCCGTCTTGTGGCCAAAGGTTTTCACCAATAGCATGACGTGGATTATCATGAGACTTTCAGCCCCGTTATCAAGCCTGTCACTATTCGCACTGTCTTGTCTCTTGCTGTCACCAACAAATGGCCTCTCAGACAGTTGGACATTCAGACCGCATTTCTGCATGGTGATCTCAAGGAAACTGTTTACATGCATCAACCTCCTGGCTTCATTGATCAAACCAAACCTGATCATATCTGCTTGTTACACAAGTCGTTGTATGGGCTCAAACAAGCCCCTCGTGCCTGGTTCATAAAACTGTCTACTGCTCTTCAACAGTTGGGTTTTTATGGGTCCAAAACCGACCCCAYTTTTTATYCTCAAATCTCCGGGCTCTCTTATCTACCTTCTGGTATATGTTGATGACATCATCATCACCGGTAACAACTCCACTGCTATCGCCACCGTCGTTGACCAGCTCCATACTCTCTTTGCTCTTAAAGATATGGGGTAGCTACATTATTTTTTGGGGGTCGAAGTTGTTCACAAGGGGGCAGACTTAGTTCTCTCACAACGGAAATATGTTTGTGAGATCTTACACCGTG